TCTCATAATTGAGTAGTCTTGGGGATTATTGAAATGCTCTCATCAAAAAGCTCATTTGGACTACGAGCACGCAAGATTCAAATGTCATTTGGTCCCTCGAATATTTTTTTGAAGATTACAAATATACTTCAAGTGCTTGAATTGGGCTTTATTTGCATTGGGATTATACTATTTAAAGTATTGTTAAACTCATTGCATAAAAATATTTATTTTAAATATAAGTTTGTTAAAATTAGAGATTGGATGGCTTTAAATTTAATTTTGAAAATTTTTAACTCAAATATTACATTAAGATTCATACTTGATAAATAAATGTTTTTGCGACGTATCAATATATAATATTTCTAATAAATATATTTTGAATATGTTTATACATAAAATGATATTGATCAGTGATAAACAAATTTATTTAATATGATTAATAGAATTTACTCAAATCAACTCAAAATTTAACTTAAAATCAAATAGGTTAGATTTAATTTGATTGAAGTCTAACTTAAAATATTTAATTTAAAATTTAGATTTAATCACACCAAATTGGCTCTATATCACCCCTATCCTAATCAATATCTATTGCTATCATCATGTTTAATTAATATCATTAGTTTTAAAAATAATTAATATTCTTAAGCACGTGTGCACATGTGGAATTGTCGGTGCGGTCATACGTGTGAATAATGGATAAAGAACTCAATCATTAAGTTCTTGCTATTTGGCGATTTTCTAAGGGTCCATAAAATTCGAAAATACAACACTAAAAAAGACGCAATTGTAGTAATCATTAGTACGTTAGTAGACAATGGATGGGCACTTTCATATTTGAATTGGAAATTTTTTTAAATTTGTTGAGGGCTAGAATATACGCGACGGTAGAGTTTGTAATTTTACGTTTAAGCATTGCACGGATATTCAGCACACACAAACATGAAAGGAAAAGATGAACACCAGGAATTTTTACGTGGAAAACCCGAAAGAAGGGAAAAACCTACGGGGCCACGCCCATATGAAATAATGCCACTAGTGTTCGTTTGAAGTACAGAGGTTGATTCGTCCCACAAGTCAGGACAATCAAATTACCATCAGTTTCTTCTAAATTGAAACAAAGTTACAAAGTTTTGCAGACTTCCAACGTCTCCCGAAAATCCAGCAGAATTCCGGCGTCTTCAGGCGGCGGAAAGAACTCCGGCGGTGATCGAGGAGGAGCTGATTCTCCTCCTCCTTTTCTCTTCTTCTCTCTCTTCTCACTTGAGTCCTCTTGTGAAGAATGAGGGCTCTATTCATAATTTTTTTGGAGTGGCATGACTTGTAAATAGGTGTGAGATCAAGTGCGAATATGGAGTAGTCGAATGGACGGTTGATGTTGAATCCTTCGATCGTGCACCGTTCGTCGGACATTTGAAGGCCTTAGTAATGTCAGAATTTGGCAATCTTAGGTTCGTTGGATTCGTCTCGTCGAGCCGTTCGATTCGAGTATAAGCTTGTTAAAACCGGAGACCGTTTGGTAACTCAAATTGTGATTCGAACCTTCCAACAACACTTCGAGTCTTCGATTCATACTCATTTGGACTCGGATTGAGTTGAATTTGGCGTCGTTGGGTTCGTATTTCCGAGACGCTCAGTTTGGCTATAAGCTCGCTAAAATCGGAGTTTAGGTGCTCCCGGATTTAATTTTTGAAGTTTTTTGGTTGGTTTCTGCCTCGAGATTCGTGCCTGATCAAGATGATTTCATGACGACGTACCAAAATTAAATTCAGGATATTTCAAATTCCAATTTTAACAAATTTATAGTCCAAATAAATATATTGATGAGATAAATCTATGGACCCTACGAGTGAGTCGATCTGGCTTCAAATGAGCTCAAATCAAACACTTGAAACATACTAGAAAGATTCAAGACATTAATTGAATGACTAAATGTTCTTCAAGACATAGTCAAATCGAACAGCTTGACAAAACGAATCCAACAAGCCTAAGATTATTTGGTTCTAACATCACTAAAGTACTCAAATGTTTGATAAACAATCTATGATCAAATAGATCAATTTGATAGTATAATGAAGTGTTTTGGACAAAACGAATCCAACAAGCCTATAAATATGACTCTATTCTATATAGGAAAAGGAGAAGTGAAGAGCTAAAACAATTAAAGAACTCTATAGATTACCAGTGACGATCACCATCAACAATCGCCACCTCCATCTCCAGATTTCTGCCATCTGACTATTTCGCTTGACAATTAACATATAACTATATTATTGTGATTTATTTGTTCGACTGTGGACACATAATTTTTTGTAATCCATACAAAATAAACAGTTAATTGTTCTCAACTGTGTATAATCCCATCTCCTTCAATTCTGAGGAAGAGATGAATTTTAAATTTATTATTTTTAGTGGATTATTAGAGGGTCAAGCCTCATTGGTTTTCCCATTCTTTATTTTTCCACATAAAAGTTTTCAGCTCCTAAAACTTTTTTTTATGAGTGCTGAATTTTTTTTTTAACAAAGCTAAATATTAAGTACACTCTATCACCACAAATTTTCTAACACATGTAATAACATTAAATCTCCCCTTATAGATCAAGATTTCTTAATACATTTTTAATAATAATACCCTAATTATATAAGAACTTATAGAAGCTATTGGATTATATAAACACTTATCACATAAAGCATAAGTTCTTCTTGCATAACATATATCTTAAGGGAACTTAGCATATAACAATAAGATTAGTCAATTTAAAAATCAAGTGAGTTCTAAATGCCATGAAAACCCTAAAATAGAATTTGATACATCACATTCACTCATAGCAGAGCCAAATTGGCTTTGAATTGGTTGAATTGGCATTGGAGACTCAAACTAAGCTGATTGAGCAAGCACTGAGTCAGAGTAAATTGAACTAAGCCAAGTAGGCTTCGCGACCACCTTCACCTTTTATTGCACATAAGAAAATGTCATCACTGCTAACAACTGTGACTATCAAAATAACTCTCTAGGCCGCTTCTCACAAACAACTCATGAACGAGATTTGATTATCATAAAAAATTTCATTATCATGCAATCTATTTTATTTGAAGAATTTGAGATAATTTAAACTATTATATCTCGAATACTTCATACTTTCACAATTCATTTGTAACAAAAATGCTATTATTATATAGATGATTTGATTTTTGTTTAAAAAAAGTATACTAACACAATTCATCTTGGTTTGTTAGTTGGGAGCTTAGGTTACCAACTTAAGAGGTTTTGAGTTCGAATCTTGTGTATGCGATATGTATGTGAGCCTGCCTTAATTGGCTTAACTGTTAAAAAAAAAAAAACTATACTAGGTTGGCTTTATGTCAGGCACATTTGTGCACTAGATTAATCTGGGTGGTTTTGATTTCCTTAGTATTAGAGCCATTAGAGGTGAGCATGAATACTGACAACTCAATGTAAATATCTAATATTCTGAACCACAATTGCTTTACAAAGGAGAGAACAAAATTTATTATTTTTAATGGGAGAATTTATATAAATAATATTGATTTTTTTATATTTAAATACTAATTCCTAAAATTTCATTTTTATTTATATAACATTAAATCACATCAAATATGTGAATAGAAAAACTTATTTCTATACATCAATTACTATTATCAAATAATTTAATGATATATATATCCTCCTAACCTTGTTTTAATATGATGATTTTGCACCACATAAATACATAATTATGGAACAAGCCATTGCTTTTGGTTGTTAGGTTGTCTATCAAGTTAAAATTTCCAATTTTTTGGCCAAAAAGCGCTCAAACAATGAGAAGCTATGGAACCTTACACGGGAATCTCACAACTTTCATTTGATAGCCATTTAACGACAACGACAGTACAACGATTGCAGATTGTCTAATTCGTTGCTTTATCAAAGGGACTGGACCCGAAATTACTCTTTTTACATGATTAATCATTTCTCTTTTTTTTTTACTCTTTATGGTTATAGAAAAGAACAGCCTAACTAAGCACCCTCATAACAATATTACAATTCGAGTTTTGAACCACAAAACTTATTTACAAAAATAGTAACTTCTTACCACCGAACTACTAAGATTTTACTTAACCTCACACTGTAGACACTACCTGCAGCAGTTGTATGCTGTATAAAAAGTCCGATTCTCATTCTGTTTAGGGATTTGGTTCAATTTTTTTTCCTCAAAATGAGAAAAAGGACGACAGAAAACCATACGATCCAACTCTCCAAGCATGGCAATGAAGAAAATAGACTGAACACGAGAGAGATTATTACATGCGATGTCCAGACCATCTAAAGTCAAATCCGCGTCATATCACCCGAATGCACTGAGCCCTAGATGATGTAGCGCGTCCGAATTCGCTTCCGAATGCCGCACATAATAATTTTCCCTGAACACAGCTATGGACAACTTATATCTGCCGAATTGTATGATTTCATCATATATTTTAATATTGCAGCAATGACATGACAGTAGTAGAATTATTGAAAACTGAAGCAGCAGCCGAAGGGTAGTAACTATAATGATGGCAGGTAGACTTCATTATCACTAAATTATAAAAATGCATGTCGGTGCATGTGAACGCTAGTTTAAAATAATAAATGTATCCGTCTCATATGGAATTTAAAAAGAAAAAAAAAATCCTGGGTAAAGAATGACAATAGAACCATGTGCTAAACCATAATAGTTTGAATCTCCCTTTTTAGGAGAAATTATTCTGTGCGAATACCGAACTGTCCGGAGGCGAAACAGAATGAGCCATGTCACCCAGTACACAGACGTAGTACACAACAAAAATGTGACATGGCGCATTCTGATTTAACTCCGGATGGCGTCAGTATCCGCACAGAATAATTTCACCCGCTTTAAGATCAAAACAGAGTTATGTGGCTACCAACTTCCCATCACATAGCATCGCCTCAACGGCTCAATATCAGCACGAACTAACAACGAAATAAATGCTACGTTGAAATTGCAGAAAGCCAGTTTTAAATTCAAAATAAAATAAAATTATCCTAAAAAAGGCAAATTTTCTCCTATTTGGGAGCACGAATTTTTCACAGTAACCCCTTTTATAAGATGATAAAAAAAGTTCCCATTTCATACAAAAGGCGAGAAGGAATTCCCACTCTTTTATTTACTCCGCGTTGTTGAACATGACAAAATTGGAAGCCACAAATGGATTTGAGAATGGTGAAAACTCGTTTGATTATTTATTAAATACTCATCCAAAAGTAATAGATAAGGCGTACGATTGAAGAAGAGAGAGTGCTTGCTCTGCCACTGCTCGGTTCCTTGCCAAACTTGACCACTCGATGGCAACTACCTCTGCTTCAGTGCCTCGTACCCCTTCTACCAGGGCATCAGCTGCCTCCGCATATTTTTTCTCTGCTAAAAAATTCTCGACTTTACTAATAAGGGACTCTATGCTGTCGCTAGAGCCATCTTCTCTCATCTGTAATCATGGAAAAAAGTTCAAATTTTTTTCTCAACCAGATGTGGCAACCTAAGATCCGTAAGTCTAACACTGAACAATAATGGATGACAAAAAGAAAAAAAGACAATCGACTAACAATTCAGAGGAATGAACAAATGAATCATTTAGTATATCGAAAATATAGAGATGCAAGTTTCACCTTTATGGAGGATGCAATGCGAGCTACAACATGGGTAAGCAGTCCACCGCCACCAACAGGAATGAGGCTGAAATGACGCAAAGTTCCTTTCAAAGAATCAAACTGCAATAAAGAACAGTTAGGCTTCATTTGGTTATCCGGTAATTTTCAAAAGGTAGTTTTAAGAAACATCGATTCAAAGAAAGGATTTTCTAACAGAGGAGCATATATAAAAAACTGTCTTAAAACAGCAGAACAAATAAAAGAATGATGATATTGGGAACATGATTTGAAGAATCAAATAGTAAAGAAGAAATAAATTGATCGTTTTAAAAAAAGAATAAGCACAAAAAGCGTTCAATCAAACTAGGCCTTAGTATCAATCATGATAAAGTACACAAGAACAAAAGTACATCTAAGATGAACTACATAGCTCTTTGCGAATTAATTTTTCCACATAGTTAGGTCAGACACCAAAAAAACTCGCCAGGTCTGTGGAGGCTTAGAATACAAACAAAAGCTTATGGTTCTGTAGTACACAATCCTATCAATGAATATTTGAATGATGTGCTAAGACTTGACCATAATTTTACAAAATGCTAAAATATCGCAGATTCCATTGTGTTGACCAAATAATCTCTCCTTTGCAACTTAAAAAAGTTAAGATGAAAAAAGTCTCTAAATCTACTGCAAACAGTCTTGAAATATTTATCCAGTACTCAAAGGTCATACCACTCAATCTTTCGGCTAAAAACGTGGCATAACATAAATTTCCAGAAACCTCTGCTACTGTTGCTGTTCAAGCTTCCAAGTAAATCATCAAAGTAAAAAATACATAAATTTCAAAGCTAATGCATTTGATATTTTTAAGGGCTTCTTCGACCATCTACTCCTACATTAATTATGTCATCTCATCCATTGAAGTTTTGAGCCATCTCTTTAAGCCCCTACTATGTCCTCCCCCAACAACAGCATTTGGGGTGCAACTGGCCTAAAAATGATATTTCCCGTACTTAGGCAAAACCAGGAAGAGAATAGGAAACTTAATAGGGACTTCCAATAGATTTCGCAGCATTTAATCCTTTACATCTTGAGAAGCAGTTTGTTTATTTTTTTCTTTTTAACGTAAAAAACAATGGAGGATTCACATCCAAAGATCATGCTTGAAACATGTACAGATTAATCCAGAACCTTACTGCTTAAAAATTTATAAAGGGAGATGTATCAAGTGCATATGTGAAGAAAAGCTCACAACGTGATATTCATCGTACAAATTGAAGATAATTTTGGATTTGCAAAAATAGGCTTACTACAAGCCAGAGAGCACATTTGCATGCAATTAGCTTTGGCAATGACACTGACTTGCCTTTTGACTCAATTGCAGCGGAGTATCTATTCCATGGTTTACTGTGTCATCCGGGAGGGATGAAAGAACCAGACCTAGAAGAGATTCTCGATCGATGCCTTCAAGGGCCTTGCACAATGCATCTACCTCTGCACGTATGGGCAACCCTTTTGACAGAGCATCTTCCAAGGCAAGCGTCCCCTGCAAGTTAAGCATATAGGTGCCTCAAAAAAAAAAAAAATACCCAAGAAAGTAGGAACACTGAGAGACAAGGATACAATCATGAAGTAAAATGAAAGAAAAAGCCAGCTTACAAGAGCAAGTTTGTGAACAGAATGAGTCTGGCGTGCTTCTTCCGATCTTGCATAGAAGGCCATGCACAAAGCATTTATCTGATGCACAGCCAAACAATGCAACAAGGTAAAAAATGTTACTATGATGGAACGAAATGTAAATCCAAAGTCCAATATATCATAAAAAGCATGTCAACACTTCAAATGTGTAATAAGAGAAGCCACATGTTTGTCAAAAAAACAAACTATTCACACATGATACTCGGAGAACAACGCATACATGAAGGTTTGCTTCAGCAATTTTCTCCATCTGGGATGACTTCTCACTAGCAATAGCTGCCGCTAATTCAGCTTTGGCCAGGTCTTGAGCTTTCTTAAGTAGAACATCAGCTTCTTCTTCCTGCAATAATAATATATCTGCTTTGATTATGGTTCACGTTAAAGGGTAATTAATCAGTGTCATCAGCGTCATTAGCTTAATCCAAACTTTGGAGTCAATAAAAGGTAAATACTGCATAGCTATATAAAGTGTTTGCGTCCATTACCTTACGTTGCAATTCCTCCCTCAGTTTCTGTTCAGATTGCTCTTGGATTGACTTGATTGTAGCTGCTGCCTTTGCCTTTTCTTTGTTCAGCTCCTAAAGACAGTTTAGCAGATTATGATGGAAAAATTAGTCATCAATTACAAGGAGAGATAAATAGTAATCAATTATAAGTAGACATTGCCATAGTTTTCTTTCTCCCTCCTGTCCCCCTTTCTCCTTCTACCTCTATAAGTCTATATTCATCTCTCATCTCTCAATAGAGAAAGATAAAGGGTATGTAGAAGGTATAGGATATATTTCAACAGGAGAGATAAATATATAGAGAGATGTCAATCAATAGGAAGATAAGAGAGGAGAAAGTGAAAACAGAAAAAGAGATACACACACATGGACAACATAACATCTTTTAACCTTTTTATGTTTAGATTCTATATTTGAACCTTTGTAGACATAAAGTAGCACGACTTCGTAACAAAGATTGCTCTTTATATGTGATGGGAAAAAAATACAATTTGCATCATACTTATAAGGATTTGGTGCAATAATAGAAAGATCATCATTTAAAATTACGTAATATGAGATGCGTCTTAGTGCAATAAGAGAAACAAGCACCTCGAGACGAATGCCTAAAATTATCCTATAAGGCCTACGCCTCGATTTAGTTGAGCAGCACCTCGCTTCTTCAGCTTGAGACACACCTCAAGTGCCAATTATTTTAATTAAACAAGATATAAAGAAGCTTGTAAGGAGTCTAAAAAAGAAATTTGTAATGCAAAGAATTTATCTCTTAATAATTTATATAATAGATTAGATACTAAGGAGGTTAAAAGATATATGTATAAGTTAGACAAGTAAAGAGATAAGAGAATGATTTAATTCAAATGAAGTGCATTAACGATGAAGATCAAAAGTGCTTTTATTAAAAGAGGATATTCAACAAAGGTGGATGCGATATTTTGATATGCCTTTCAATGAAGATTGTGAGAATATGATTGAATTTACTGACCTTAATACCCTAAATGAAAATATAGATTTTTGTTTCATCGGCACATTAGTAAAATCGAAGTTAGAGAGACTTTACAGAAAATGAAGTGGGGAAAAGATGTTGACCTGGTAATATTCCAATAGAGGTGCGGAAATGCTTAGGAGATAGAAAAAATTAATTGACTTACAAAACTTTTCAATATTATTTTGAATATTAAAAAATATAAGATGCGTGGAGGAGTGTGTTGATTCCTATTTTTAAGAATAAATGTGATACACAAGAGTGTGTGAATTATAGAGGAATTAAGTTATGTGTCATACTTTAAAACTATGGGAGAGTTATTGAGCATAGGTTATGACGTGATACTAATGTTTCTCAAAATCAATTTGGATTCATGTTGGTTAGTTCTACTATGAAAGCTATACATTTATTGAGAGATTTGATGGAGAAATATAAAAAAAAGGAGAATCTACATATGATATGTATTGATTTAGGGAATGCTTATGATAAAGTTCCAAGAGAAAACCTATGGAGAGTTTTAGAAAAGAAAGGGATTTATAATGCTTATATTCAATTCATTAGGGATATGTATGCAGGAGATGTTACTTGTGTTCAAACACAAGGTTGTTTGACCAAGTATTTTAGTATTTTGGTTGGATTACATCAAGGATCAGCTTTAAGCCCATATTTTTTTTTCTTTTAGTCATGGATGATCTTACTAGACATTTGCAAGAGGACGTACCCTGGCGATTTTTTTTTTAATGATATTCTTCTTGTTGATAAGACTAGAGAGGGAGTTGAAGGTGAACTTGAATTATGGAGTTCAACCTTAGATTCTAAAGGTTTTCGTTAGAGCAGATCTAAAACTGAATACATGGAGTATAATTTTAGTTGTAATAGATCTAGTGGGTGGATTATTACTTTGGGCGATCAAATCATTAATAATAGTATATGTTTTAAATATCTTGGGTCAATTGTTCAAAGTGATGGTGAAATAGATGTGATATTATTAGTAGAATCAAATTGGATGGTTGAAGTGGAGGAATACATCAGGCCTGTTATGAGACAGAAAAATACCCCTCAAATTTAATGGAAAATTTTATAACATAGTCATGAGACGTAAAATTTTGTATGGCACAGAATGTTCTCCATTAGACAAAAAGAAGTTAAGTATTGTAGAGATGAGGATCCTCAAGTGGATAAGTGGCTTTACTCTTAGACAAAATGCGAAACGAGCATATACGTGAAAAGGCTGGAGTAGCACCGGTGGAAAATAAGATTAGAGAAAGTCACCTTAAATGATTTGGTCACATAAAACATCAACCTTTAGATGACCGGTTAAGAGAGTAAATGTATTAGATTTGGCCTATGTTAAGAAAGGTAGGGGTAGACCGAAAAAGACTTGGTTAGAAAATATTAGAAATGATATTTTTTTTAGATTTAAATGAGAATTTTACTCTTAATAGGACATAATGAAAAAAAAAAGGATTCATGTAGCAAACCCAATGTAGTGGGAATGTGGGATAAATGTCTGATGTTGTTATTGTTTTTAGACAATATATCCATAATACTTATTCTAACACAGCCACTTGCACGCACTTGAGACCGAGACTGAGATTGAGACTGAGACAAATGTTGTGTGTTCCCATCAAGTGAAAGCATCACGTCTCTCCCTACCGCAAGGCCCCTTCCGCCTATGCCAGCAAACCCTAGTGACGCTAATGCGGTTGCCACCTCCTTTTCCTATTTCTATTATCTAACCTTCTTTACCCCCAACTATTCTTCCACCTTTCAAAAATTTTCTGAAAACTTTTTAACATTTTTTTAAATAACTTCATTTTTCATATGGCTAAGCTACATTATTTCATTATTTGAATGTTTCATTGTTCTCAAAATTGAATCAATTGTTCCATCCTAGGGTTTTGTAGAAAATAGTTAGAGACTACAAAAATAAAAAACTTGTCATATAAAGGACCTAGCATGGAAATATAACATTTAAATTGATGTAGGAGGCTATTACAAACTTATCAATATAATTTAGCATCTAACTATTGTAACAAGATGGTGAAGGGTGGTGCAACAAGAATAAAGAAAACCTATCCAAATCTTCCAAGAATGTGGCACCATATGCCAAAGTGCCCTAAATTGATGTAGGAGGCCATAAAAAAACTTATCAATATTATTTAGCATCTAATTATTGTGACAAGATGGAAAAGAGTGGTGCAACAAGAATAAAGAAAAACCTATCCAAATCTTCTAAGAATGTGGCACCATATGTCAAAGTGCCATAAACAGTTATGAAAGAGATCAAATCATATATGAATAAGTTGATAATGTCAAAGCATCTAGGGGAACGACAGTTTGATGATATATTTGGCTTTGGCTTATACTATGGGAGCGAATGTGATGGCCGGATCTCATCATCCTCATTGCCACCAATGTCCATTGGGGGTGCAAGAGGTTCCATGGATCATTACATGGTAAATCTAGAGGATGATAGTCAAGGGAATAGGCTACAATAACAACAACATCAAGCCTTTATCCCACTACATGGGGTCGGCTACATGAATCTTTTTTCTCCATTGTATCTTATTAAAGGTCTAATTCTCGTTTAAATCTAATAAAGAAAGGCCATTCCTAATATTTTCTAACCAAATCTTTTTATGTCTGCCTCTACCTTTCTTAACATAAGTCAAATCTAATACCTTTACTCTCCTAACTGGGTCATTGGAAGGCCGCAGTTTTATGTGAACAAATCATCTAAGGCGACTCTCTCTAATCTTATCTTCTACTGAAGCTACTCTAACCTTTTCACGTATATGCTCATTTCGTATCCTATCTCAAAGGGTAAAGCCACTCATCCACCTGAGCATCCTCATCTCTGCCTTCTTCTTCTTCTATGGAAATCCTGCGGGCTCTTTCCACCATTCTTCTTGGCTTCTAATCTCTTTCTTCTCTCCATACTATCCATTCCATTGTATCCTTCTTCTCAAAGTAAGCAATTTTAGGGTGTCATTTTGTTTGTGTCAAAGTTTGAAGCGTCCAAATTGTAAGTGTCTTGCAAGAGTCGTTTGTAAGTCTTGTCTAAGTTGTAATAGTTTTTATATTATGAAGTAAAGTTATTGTTTTTAGTTTATTTGTCTATTCTATGTCTTTATTTCTTTCTTAGAAAAGTATTACTTTTTTGTGATCAAAAATTTGGGTCCCTCCCTCCCCAAATTTTTGATTGCATCAATAGGCTACGGAATCAAAATTGTCCCTGAAGATTACTAGGGTGGCACGCACATGTATGTACAACTATTGGAAAATCTTTTATGAGAGCTTATGGGGGTGGGTGACTTGAAACTCCTGTCCATGTCTGATTTGAGATGTAGGTTTTGAATGCTGGCCAACATAAGAAAAAACATTAAAAAAAAAAATTAAAAGACCTTCGAACCATACAGGGTTACTATCATGTCCGATGAATGGTCAAATATTAGAAACTTCTTACCTCTTAAAATATCTCATAAAAACAATTGGACTATTTTGTTATAGCTAACCATTACCATCCCCAAAAACTTCTTAACAACACCAACATCTGTCATCTCAAATGTGCACTCAAATCAACTTTCATAAAGTATGATGTCTCTAATTACACTCAACAAATCAACAATATACAAGAGCACATACATCTGTAATTTTCTTATGGTACACATAATTGTCAAATGGGCTTCTCACGTAAACATTATTAATCATGAAACTGATAATTTGCTGCAGGTTATATGGAAACTTCTTCCATGGACAATTTAATCTTAGTTTGTACCAACTTCAAACCTTAGTGCTTGTAGTAGGTGAATTTCCGCATCCAAATCACCATGGAGAAAATCCATCTCCATACCTAGTTGTTCTAACATATATTGGACTGCAACCACTGCACACAAAGTACAAATAGACAAATATTTAATTAAAGGTGAGAGAACAAAGTCCATACCTTCATTTTGATTGTAACACTCTCCAACCAATTGTGCATTGTATTTTATGGTATCTTTACCTCGAGTTTCCTCATTGTGCTTAAAGATCCACTTGCAACCAATAATCCTTTTAGCTCTAGGGAGTTAAACTAGATCCC